ACCAAAATGCAAGCAGCGCTCATTTCAGCTTCCACCTGGGGCGGAACGTTCTGTGTGAGCTGACCCCTCCTGTTTCAACCTCTGGCCCCTCCAGTTTTCCTGAATTTAGCAGAACCCAGGCACCGAGAAGCAGATCCTGGCTCTGGCCGTACCTGGGGACTCTGAAGTTTGTCCACTTCTGAACAGCGTCTTCAGAACAGGTCATGGACGCTCTTTCCCTTTGAAGTTGTGTGGCCATCACCCCGTGGGGCCCTTGCAGCCTTTGTCCCTCCCCAGTACCCAAAGCCCTGCTCTGTCCCCCACGCTGGCTGGAAGTGAGATTTTGGTGTGCAACCTGAATCGGAAGCTGAGTGTCACAGCAGGGGCAACAGGGACCAGCAGGATAGCACAGAAGCAGGACTTAGAAACCCTGAGGGAGGAGGTGGGGGGTCTCCAAGACTGGTGGATGTCCAGGTGGTGGAAGGAGTGAACTCTGGAGTGTAAACTGCAGCCTCCGTGGGAGAATCCACTCCCACCAAAGCTCCAGAATGTTCCGGGACTGTACCACACATAGTTGCCCAGGCTGAGGAGAGCCCCACCCAGCTCCCGATGAGGAGGAACCAAGGGGTCTGTCCACCATTTGTCAGCTCAGGACCAATGAACCCTTGAGGGACCAGGGCCCCAACTGTGCCTTTGTGGGCCTGGGTCCGCACTTGCCCCTGCACCTGGTTGGGCCTGGGCTCATGCAGTGCACGTGTGCTGCTGAATGTGAGCGTGGGACCTGGTCCCCCTGTGTGAGTGTTGGCACACGTGAGCTTTTGGGGGATACGACATCTAAACCCCCCAAACACACACACCCTGCTGCCTGTTCCCGCATGCAGCCTGGGATGGGCAAGGGTGCAGGGGCTCAGTCCTGTCAACAACGCTCCGTGCTCATGAAGGTGTGTGTGCATGGGAGGCGGGCTGGAGGGTGGGCGAGTGTGTGAAGGCCAGTGAGTGAGAGGGCGTGTGGGGGTTGGCCCACTGGGAGGGGCTGGGAGCCTGGACAGGCCTTCCCAGCAGCCACCTCCCTCTCCAGCTCTGTCATGGCCCAGGATTCTGTGTGTTATGGTGGCGGCCCAGACCAGGTGCCTGGGTGTCCATTCGAGCTGCTCTGCCTAGCCTGTCTCCATGACATGGCCTGTCTTTGTGCTCTTTCTCTGCCTCTCTCCTCCCACCGTCCTGGACTTATCCCTTTCTCAGTCTCTGTGGCCCTTTCCTGTCTCTTGCCCACACCTCCTCTGTCCACCTCTCATGCTCCCTCTCGGGGGAGGGCTGGCCCAGCAGCCACTGCTTTCCCTCCCCAGGACTCTGCGTGGGTCAGAAGGGCCTTTGGGAAGCCTGTCCCTCTCTCTGACATGGTGTGCTGTCACTCCACTTTGTGGGGCCTTACTGAGCCCATCCAGGCAGACAGAGCTGCAGACAACATGGAGACAGGGTGCTAATTGGAGCGGGGGCCGCCTGCCTGCACGGCTGCACCAGGCACCAGGAGCTTGAGGGAGAAAGGCCTCTGTGCAGGCCCTGGGGCTCCGGGGAGCCAGGCCTGTAACAGCCTTGAGGTGCGCATCCTGCCTCCTGGGGACGACTGCTGGCAGACTGCACAGATGGGGAAACCAAGGCCAGGGAGGGTCAGTACCTGGTCTGAGGCCCACTGCACGGCACATCTCGGGTGGAGACTGCCCTGTCCTTGTGTTGCCCAGGCTGGGGAGAGCCCCACCCAGCTCCTGATGAGGAGGCGGGGATGGGGGGGACCTGAGCACAGGAGCCAAGGGGTCTGTCCACCATTAAGCACCAAAGGTCCCCTCACCTCCATTACCCCTGAGAGGCTCGGCTTCATTGTCTCCCAGAGTCAGGTTCTTTCCCTGATATAAAGATATCAGAATATTCTCCACCTCATGTCATCCACCCACGCCCCTCATGGGCACCTGTGGCACCCAGGCCTGGGCTGGGCACAGGGGCCAGCCAGGAATCTGCACCCAGGAGGCAGCAGGAGGGGCAGAAGGGAGGCCCTGCCTCCTAGGGAGAGCCTTGGTGGCCTCCTGCCCCTCCAGCCCCAGGCCTTACCTGTGCTTGGGCTGTCCCAGCAGTGCCCCAGGGTTGGCCCCTGCCTCCCGGCCTGCTGTGGTCCCAGTGCTGCTGTCAGACAGCGGGGTCGCCCTTTCAGGCGAAATGCCCTGTACCCGTGGAGGTCATGCACGGGTGAGGCCCGCCAGCCCCTGAGGCTGCCTGGGCGCCCGTGCGTTTGAGGGCCGGGTCAGCCAGGCCAGGATGGCATCAGGAGAACGCTGTCTGTGGCTTTGGAGAAGAACCAGTGAGGTCCAGGCCTCCCAGGTGACCTTGACTTCCCCTGAGGCTGGCCACCCCAACCACAGAGCCCAAGGACTCCCCGCCCCTAGATATTGACAGACGCGGAACCTGAGGGCCAGAGGAGGGCTTTGCACAGATCCGCGGCTCCCCAGGAGCAGAGCTGGGGTCCCAGTCTCCGGCTCCTCCCACCAGATGGTGCCGTCACCCCCCCACGCTGCCTGCCAGCCCTGTATGAAGCCATGACAATAACAGTCAGCACAGCACATCCTTCAGGAGGAGCCGCACAGCCTACGTGACTTTCACCTGCATTATCTCAGCAGGGCTCTGTGAGATGGGGACACTGAAGCCCAGGGCCAGGTCCTGCCTCACGCGCAGGGGCGTGTCCAGCCACAGAGGCTGGCCTAGCTCCTGGGTAGGAACAGGGCTCCACCCAGCTCTGCTCCTCGGCCTGCTGCCTGGTAGGCCTCTAACTGGTCTCCAAGCTTGAGTGTGGCCCAGGGGTCAGGCCAGGGGGGACACTGCCAGAAAGGCCGGGTCCAGCTGGCCCCTTAGGCCGCTCTGCTAAGTTGCCAGGCTCCTGAGTCATCCTGCCAGGGTCCGCCTGCTCGGACCTGTTCCCTGGCAGCTGCTGCCAGGGTGGGTCAGCCCAGCCCTGGTGTCCTGCCAAAGCAGAGGTGGCCGTGAGGTCAGAGGCAGTGTCCTCTGCCCTCCCCACTGCCCTGCCTTTGCCCGCTGCTCCTTTCATGGCAGGGAAGCCTCTCCCCTCTCTCCCAAACTCCCACCCGTCTGTCATCCCCACCAAGTGGCCTTGCTCCAGGACCTCCCCCCGCCACAGTTCCCCTGAGGCGCCTTCCCTGCTGTGTCTTCAGGGGCTCCGTGGCCCCTCTCCCTTCTCCTGTCATCCTGACTACAGCAGAGGTCCCCAGCCCTAGGGGGGGTGTCAACTTCCAATTTCCCTGGGTGATGGAGATCTCTTTCCACCAGGGCATTGGGGCATGGGGGCCCCAGACTCAAGGGGGTGCCAGGCCGAGGAGAGAGCTCTGGAGGGTCCAGTGGGGGGGGGAGGAGGCACTCCATGGCTACCCCCGGGCTGGGAGGAGGCCTGGCCACGCTGCCAGCCAGAATCCAGCAGGCTCTGCTGAGGGTGGGGATACCTGGAGGCTGGAGTGTGGCTCTGCTGGAGCACTGTCCTACATGTGGGTGGCCCCCCGCCTCCCCCACACGGGACCTGGCTCTCCCCAGAAGCTCACTGAGCCCTGGAGAAGCTTGATGTTATTTAAGCAGCAAGTATCCTGTCTATTCTGGGCCAGGCCCACAGTCATGCCGGGCAGGAACCTGGGGCTCGGAGGACAGAGGAAACCTGCCCAAGGTCACACGGTACATGGCAGAACCAGGACTCAAACACTGAGCGTCTGGTGCCACAGACCAGGCCCACATGGCTCTTCCCCTAGAGCCCTTTACCTATCACTGAGAATCCACCTCCACTGCAAACCAGAGCCCACAGGCGGGGGGGGGGGGCAGGGGCTGGCATGAGGCTGAGACCACTGGTGTGAAATCTGACAGGTCTGTGGCCAAGCCTCCTCCTAGCTGTGTGGACTTAGACAAGTTGCTTAACCTCTCTGAGCCTCAGATGTCTCGTTTCCAGAGTAGAGATGGTAGCAGTGACCATCCATTTAGCACTAATTGAGCACTTTCTAAGTATCAGGCCTCCTTCTAGAACACAAGAACACAGCTCTCATGAAGACAGGCAAAACCTGCCTCACAGGGAGGTGGGAGGACCACCCAAACCTGGGTGTGGAAGCCCCAGGGTAGCAGGACAAGCACCTCCTGCCTGTGGCTGTTCTGAATGCCCCTCTGCTAGTGCCCAAGGACCACTGAAGGACCACGAGGATAAGAGGCGCTCGGAGCTGGAAGGGAGGAGCCCCAGGCCGAGGGCAGTGCCCGTGCAGAGCCAAGGGGCCGGATGGGCAGCACAGCCAGGCGTGGGCGGGTCCAGGCTGACATACCCCTGCCACAGGGGCTGCGCTGGACGCCCTGACTGGTGAGCCTGGGCTGGGGCTGGGGTCAGGCCAGCAACCCTTGGCCACAACCCCAGGTGCAGGAACATCCCATCTGACAGCTTCCGAACAAGACCCCCTCTCGGGAGTTAGGGTCACCTGCCCAGCTGTGCCCCGGGTAGGAACACCCTGGGCTCTGAGCTGGAAATGTCCACCTTTTGACTTTAGAGTTGCTTTCCTTCTGAATAAAAAGTAATATTTATGTGTTCATCATGAAAATAAAGGTGGAAAACTTAGATGTTAATCGCAATTTCATTGCACAATTTTAAGCACACCAGAAATAGCCCTCTGGACACATCGGTGCCCAGCCCTCTGGGTGTTTTTCTGGTCACTGGTTCTGAGGGTTGAGATAAAGTGACACATGGAATTTATTCATGTTCAGCTCTTTTCGTTGAACGTGAGCCTCTAGGGTGGTGTTTACCGTTTCTTTCTGTTATAAACTTAATGTGGCCATTGTAAAGCCTACCAGCTACAGAAATTCCAAACAGAGAGAATCCAGGGAAGGCAGGCAGAGGTCCCCGGGACCCCGGCCCAGGACGACCTCCTCAGACATCCTGGCACTGTGGACCCAGGAGGCACTTGGAGCCTGGGGTCGGGTTGGCCTGGCTTCCACTCCTCCCAGAGGCCCAGCTGGCCTCCCTGAGCCTCGGTCTTCTGTAAGCAGAACCAACCTCACCGGTGCCTGCCTCATAAAGCCGAGAGCAGAATTCAAGAATGAACCAGAAGCACTGTCCCAAAAGGGTTAAAATAGCCCAGTGCGTGGGACAGCACACAGGAAGCACAGGAAATGTTAGGTGGCGCAGTAACCCCAGCAAGCCACGGGCCCAGGGCTCGCCACAGCCTGCAGGTTTGTAATCCCCAGACCTTCACGGACTCCGGGGGCGCAGGCCCACGCGTGGGTCCAGACGAACGCCGAGCAGTACGGGGTGTCCGTGCGACCCCGTGGTACATGGCCAGAGAGAGAATGAAGTTCTGGTAAGCGCTCCAAGATGAGGCCCTGAGAACATCAGGTAAAAAGGCCGATCTCCAAACTCCGCATGGGGTTTGAATCCTTTCATAGGAGTGTCCTGAGCAGGAGAATCCAGAGAAACAGAACGAACCCCCAGCTTTGTCAGGAAGGAGTTAAAGCAGCTCAGCACTGGGCCCAGGACACGGAGCGAGCCCGGCTTAGCTGCCAGGCTGGGAGCCGGAGGGTGGGGCGAGGGCATCCTGCCGGGCGGTGCTTTCCAGAAGAGAATGTCTTGGAACCACACAGAGGTGGTGTATACACAGCATTGTGAGGTACAAGTGCCACCAAATTCTACACTTCGGGTGATTTTGCCTCGATTTTTAAAAAATGAAAAAAAAGGTGTAGAGACTTGCCTGGGCTCAGGGTCACAAGGGAAACGAGTGACACCACAGAGCAACGATTCCCCATTGGGCCAAGTGCAGGCCACAGGACAGATCTCTCCACTTGCCAGAGCCTGTGACCTTTACCATGACCCAATTTTGAGGAGAGGAGTCACTGGGTCAAAGGTAACAACCCACACACAGATGACACATTTGGGGACTGGGCCTCTCCCTGCGTGGGCATCTGGGTGGGAGGGAGCACTGGCCCAGCCAGAACCCCAGGGGACTGCTCACAGAGCCAGCGAGGGTGGACCGCCCTTTGGCCTGCACTTTCTGGTTGAGCCTGAGATTTCCACCCCTGCCTGCTGCCTGCCTGGGTTATATTTAATCCTGCTGCTTCCAGAAACCAGGACTCAAGGACAGTGTGGCCTCCTTCTGGCTCCAGAGCCCTGTGGGGTTCGTCACAACACAGCTGCCTCTGGTCACTGAGCAGCCTCAGTTTCCTCCTCTGAAAACACAGTCCAGGGAGGCTTCTGTGGGACGGTGCGGGAAGTGCTAGGCACCTGGGGACAGAGGCACAGGGAGCCTTTGTCCATGTGCTCCTAAGACACCCCAGGCTGTTCTGCAGCCTCCTGAGGAGTTGCTTATGGATTAGAAACATGTTCAAGTCCAAGGTGTAGGGTCAAGTGGGAGAGCGAGGGCAGCCAGGAGCCTGGCCCTGCTGAAGGCTCACCTGTGGGAGCTACTGCCACTTCTCTGGGCTTTAAATGCTTTGCCCACATGTTTCCATATACGCAGGTCGTTTCTGGAAGGCCACGGGGAGGCTGTGGACAGCAATTAGTCCCTCCAGAGATGAGCAGGAAGGAGATGTTTTACTTAAGTTCTCACCATGAGCATGTATTACTTTTGTAACAAAGTAACAGTTTAACATGTAATTAAGCTCTGAAACAAGAAGCTTTAACTCTTATGACCACCCCAACTAACCGAAGAGGAACGTGGCTCCTGGGCCTCACCTCCTCCAGGAAGTCCTTCTACAGGCCCAGCGCCCCAGCTACACCACCTTCCCCAGATGGAAAGGAGCACCCTGCCTGCCGCCTTTCCTCATCTGCCTCTCCCGTGAAGCTAGGAGGGCCTGGACGGAGGGGCCTGTCTGACTCATCCCGGATCCCCGGTTCCGGCAAGACGCCTGGCACTGCTGAGTGAAGGAATGAGGCTCAGAGAGGTTAGAGCAGCGGCCTTGACCTCTGGAGATCACAGAGTACGTGGTTTGGCAGGGTGAGACCCAGTCTCTGGGCTCTAACCTCACCACACCCTGACTTCTGTAGCATGGCTCCCTCCCACTCACTAAAAATGTCCCAAAGAGGCCACCTAGATGTCACTACACGGCCTCCAGCCCTTGTGTAGGTGTTGTGGCATTCAGGTTTGGGAGCAAAGATTGTTCAGGGCCCGGGGGTAGCTGGAAATGCCCATGTGTACATTAGGAAAGCCATAAAAGGAGGGTAATTTGCCCCTTTGGCCAAGAACGTCATAAAATAAAGAGTGGTTTGCCCTCCTGGCTCCTTATCTGATACTTCAAAACTGAGGTCTTAGCTGGGTGCAGTGGCGCCCACCTGTAATCCCAGCAGCTCAGAAGGCTGAGGCAGGAGGATCATGAGTTCAAGGCCAGCATCGGCAATTTAGCAAGGCCCTAAGCAACTCAGTGAGACCCTCTCTCAAACTAAAATATAAAAAGGGCTGGGTATGTGACTCAGTGGTTAAGCGCCCCTAGGTTCAATCCCCAGTGCCGCCCCCCCCCAAAAAAAAAAAAAAAAACAACCGAGGTCTTGGTCTTCCAAGTTAGTATAGACCTTTTTTGGGAGGGGGGCGGTACCAGGGATTGAATGGGAGGCAACAGTAGACACCACGGATGGGCCCAGAACACTCAAGCACAGTCCCCAAAGCTAGGACTTGGGCAGTTAGTTCTCCTCCCTGGTCTGCTTTGGAAGGGGCGGTCTAGGAGCCGTGATCTTCAAAGCTCTGTGGCTGGGGAAGCCCTCATCCCAGCCTCCTGGACCATTCCTCCCTCTGGGCTGCAGCCACCCGCCGCGCTCCTCCCACTTCAACCTCCCCCAGACACCAAGCCTGACCTCCGACTCCTCTGCTTAAGACCCTGGGTGGCTCCATTATGCCCCAGGTCAAGTCACGACCGGCCAGGCTGTTGAAGGCCAGCGCTGCCCCACCCTCCTGGCCCCAGCGCCATCCCTGCTCGGCCTGCATGCCAGCTCTGCAGGTGGGTGAGCCCAGCCCACCCTCTCTCTGCAGCCGCCCAACTGGTGACAGCACTTCCACCCATGGTCAGGTGCTGTTAGGACCGAGCGAGGAACCCAGAGTACTGGCACAGAAATGGCACTCGTGTGTGGGCAGGGTTCATGTCCAGCTTCCCTCCCTGCTCTGGGCCATCAGCTGGACACGGGCAGGATCCTTGGAATGGACCAACCCAGATGTGGGCAGCCTGGGCTGCTGTGTGAGCTCAGAAAGGCCACTCCTCTCTCGGGACCTCGGCGTCTTCACCTGCCAAACCAGGAGGCATGGCCCACCCACCCCTCCTCTCCCGCAGGCTGATGGCTCAGCTGTCTGTGCCCAGGGTCCTGTACATGTCCACTCCAGGCCCTGGGCGTCCTGTTTGCCCCTTTCCCACACTTTCACCGTCCTGTTCCCCTTCGGAACAGGGAACCTGATCACCTCGGGCCTGAATCTGTGGCCCCCGCTTCTGAAGGAACACGGTGTCACCAGCCTCTGAGGGGAGGTGTCCCCTGGCAGGCGGAGGACAAAGGCGGCTCTGTCCCCAGGCCAGTGGTCATTTGATGTTCCGTGTATCTCTGTGTTCCTGCCCTCCCACTGCGGGGTGTAAGGTGGACGGAGCCTCCCGGGGGGCCCTCGGGTCTAGCTTTCTGCTGTAGGGATGCACTGGCCACCTCGGACACTGGTGGGCCAAGGCCACGGCCTGGCGGTCAGCAAGCAGAGGGCAGGGGCAGCAGGGCAGCCACACTCGACTCCCAGGTCGGACAGCAGGTCTTGAATAGAGCAGCTCAGGGCCTGAGAGAGGGGGCTGTAGGGGCTTGTGGGCATGGGCAGGAGGCACCGGGCTCCCTGACCACCTGCGGCCCGTGGCCAGCGTGTCTGGAGCAGACAGCAGAGCTCCTGGAGCTGTCTCCTGCGCGGCTTCTCTTTTACATTTATTTATGTAAATGTCTGTTTCATATCAAATCATCCACCTAGATTTAGGACAGAGTTGGGTGACACTCAGTGAATTTGAGATGTTTGTTGATCTAATTATGTGTGTGGTGGCTTTGAAACGTGACCCTGAAATGCCTGGTGCAGTCTGCATTGAGAGGCAGTGTCCCCTCTTGTGATGGCTGCCACCAAAAGACGGGAGAAGCCAGCACTGTGGGACCTGGGTCAAGCTGTCTGTCCACTTGCTCTAGGCTGAAGGCCCATGTCTCCCAAATTTGTATGTTGACTCCTAAGCCCCGGGCAAGGGCCTTGGGAGGTGAGGCCTTCAGAGGGAGATGGGGCCATGACAGCAGGGCCTTCCTGTGTGGGAAAGAGACCCAGAGAGATTCACGCCTCTTCCACCACTGGAGGACACAGCAAGAAGCCGTCATCTATGAACAGGAACGGGCCTTGCCAGGTGCTGAGCCTGCCCATGCCCGGACTTTGGACTCCCAGCCTCCAGAGCTGTGAGGAGTCACTTCTGTGGTCTCTACGCCTCCTGTGGCAGCAGCCCCGAGCACACCATCCCACCTCTCCAGCCACTGTAAGGTGCAGACAGAGGCGCCTTCCCCAGGGACACCCCCAGGACCTGAAGGGGCACTGGCAGAGAAGGCACGGGCTCAGGCAGCCCCGTCAACCCTACCTTGGGGTGCTGTCCCCCGACCTCCCTCCTCCCTTCCCCCTCACAGCCCTCCTTGAGACCCACACTCCCCCTACAAGTGTTAGCCACTTGGGGGAGGGTCACAGGTGGTGAAGGTAAAGTGACATGTGACCAGCCACTTCATCCTGGCTGTGCAGAGGGTGGTGAAGGAAAGCTCGGGCGAGGGGAGCACCCAGCAGCATGGGGCAGGGCAGGCTTCGCAGGCAGAAAGTGGGTCAGTGTGCCCTGCAGAGGCAAGAGGCCGGCCGTGAGCGAGGACAGGTGGGGACAGGTGGCAATTCAGAGATGCAGCACCCGGGCCAGTGGACCCGGCCACAGCACTCCTCGAGTGCTCGTCCAGTCTCCATTTTGCAATGAAAGCAAAGGAGAGCCAGCCTGCATCCCCGGACACCCAGGGCAAACCAGACCTGGGATACAGCTCCCAGCAGGCTGCTCTCGAAGGGGAGGGGCTGGGTGGAAAGGGGCGTGGGGGACATCCTGGGGGCTGAGATACCATCCATTGACAGGTGCGGATACATTAGAGGAGACTCATCAAGCACTCGAGCTCTGTGCATTTCACCCTGCATAGTTAGACACAGTAAGAAAAATATGGGGGGTGGGGGACAGAAGAGGTGACGGCAAGATGAAGTGTCAGGGGGCTGGGGATGTGGCTCAAGCGGTAGCGCGCTCACCTGGCATGCATGCGGCCTGGGTTGGATCCTCAGCACCACATACAAACAAAGATGTTGTGTCCGCCGAGAACTAAAAAATAAATATTAAAAAAATTCTCTCTCTCTCTCTCCTCTCTCTCTCTCACTCTCTCTTAAAAAAAGAAAAAAAGATGAAGTGTCAGAAAAACACAAAGGCCAGCCCACAGGTTGTTTAATATTTGAACCTCATTTTGTTTTTTCCATTTGTAAAAGCAAATGATCTCTGAGCACAGTGCCTGGTAGGAGGGTACTTGGCCACTGGTCCCTCTCACCCATGACATGGGAACAAGGGACAAAAAGAGCTGAGAAAGGCTGCTGCTGGCTTGAAGGGGTCTCTGCCCGTGCCTGGGCCCCCCATCCTGTCCCTGTCCTTGGCCATATCAATCTTTAAAACATCCCTTTCTGTTTTCTTCCTAAAGTGCACATAAAGCGGGGCGCAGTGACACACACCTGTAACCCCAGCAGCTCAGAAGCTGGGGCAGGAGGATCCCCAGTTTAGGGCCCGCTTCAGCAACTTAGTGAGGGCTGGGAATGCAACTCAGTGAAGGAGTGTTTGCCTCACAGAAGCAAGGCCTGGGTTCAGTCCCCCGGTAACACACACACACACACACACACACAAAGAAGGAGGAGGAGGGAGGGAGGGAGGGAGGGAAGGCTTCTTTATCTGCAGCCAAGTTGTATTAACTTCTCTCTCTCCTGGGACCATGTGGCCAGCAGTCCCCTCTCCCAGAGGTGGTGGCCCAGTACTGTGCACCCTGACCTCTCGGAACCCCCAGGAAAACCACAGGAGAGCCTCTCAGGACAGCAGTGGCAACAGCCCAGCCATGGACAGAGCTGCCTTTCTAATATCCCTGACTCTCCCAGGATCACACACTGTTCTAGAAGGCACTGCCAGAACCCAGCAGAGGGGACGGGACACGGAGTCACCATGATGTGACTTCCACTAGGAATGGAAACTGTCTAGAGCCAGAATACAAGGACCACGGCACGGAGGCAGGGGGAGGCTGGGCGTGGGGGCGAGGTCCGACTGTGAGTGCCACCCAGAGGGGCCAGGAGCGGGTGAGCCAGGGGGAGAATAGCAAGAAGAGAGCGCAGCACAGATGGCGGTCACTCCCCCTCTGTGGCCCCTGAAATCAGTCGGGCAGAAAAGGGTCTGCTGGATGACAACACATCACAGGGTCCCTTGCCACCTGGTGTGGCATGTGACTGCATTCCAACCAATGAGATCTAGGAGCTGGAGAGGGTCTTTGCTGAAAGCGCATTAAGAGACGGGCCAGGGTGTGATTCAGAGCACTTGCCTAGTGTGCTTGAAGTACTGGGTTTAATCCCCAACAACATACATTCAAAAACAAAACAGAGTTCAGAGCTGGTGAAAGCCCTTTCTAACCATTTCTTCTTACTTTCTGCCTGAGATGGAGGCATGATCACCGGAACCCCAGCAATTATTCTGGGCTATGAAGTAACCCCAAGGTTAGAGGTCAGAACTTAGGAAGGCAGATCAAAGAGATGTTATTTGTCCTTGATCCCAAGCCAGTGCCACTAGCCCAAAGATCGCTGGTGGCTTAACCCTTTATCTGCCCCAAGAAAAATGCATTTAGATTTCTACCCCTATTCAGAACTTGAGGCCCACTCTAGCCTGTCCCCAGCATCCTCCCAGCTCTGTCAGTGCTCCATTGTCCCCAGTTTCTGGCCAGGAGAGTGTGTCACTCTTCATTCTTCGTTCTCATCTGCAAGCCCTTCCAGCTGAACCTCTGGATGTATCTCTAATCCAGACGGGATGCTCGGGATGCTCGTTCCACTGCGGCCAGTCTCGCCCAGTCGCCGTCCCCTCGTGCCCAAGGCTCCCTGCTTCCGCTTCCCCCGCGGCAGCCTCAGTGAAGTTTAGAGTATCAATCTGCTCACGCCTGTGTCCCGTGGCTTCCTACGGGACTTAGCGAAGGCTGCCCT